ATAAGACATGCTCAACTCACTAATCATAAGGCAAGTGAAAGTTAAAGTTGTATATTACCTTACACCTATCAGTTGATTGTTTATAAAAAGTTAAAGGTAAATACTGATGAATATATAGTAAAAGGCAAGACTTGGACCCTGTTGGGAAAACTGTAAATTTGTATAGTCACTGGAAAACTGTATGATTGTTCCTCTGAACTCTAAATATAGAATTACCCTATGGTTAGCAATTTCACTTCTGGGTATTTATCCAAAGAAAATTATATCACTATGTAGAAAGGATATTGGTACTCCTATGTTTATTGCAGCATTATTCACAGACCCAAACTTATGCAATTAATCTGTGTCCATCAATGTTATAATGGATAAAGAAATATGTATATATGCATACACACCCTATAATATTCTTCCTTAAAAATGAGGGAAATATTTTCATTCTGTACAACATGGATGACCTTAGAAAACATTATGATAAATGAAAAAAATCAGGCATAGAAAGACAAATATTGCATTTATGTGTGGAATTTTAAAACATCATGCTAATAAAACCAGATAGAATAATTGTTTCTCTTAGGGACCAGGGGTATGGAGAGATTGAAGATGTTGGTACAAAGGTACGAAGTTTCAGTTAGAAAAGAGAAATGTTTTTTTTTTTTTTGAGATCTGCTTACATACTATAATTTTAAAATTGCTAAGACAGTAAATTTAAAGTATTCATACTAAAAAGTGATGTGTTTGAGGAGATAAATATGTTAATTAGCTTTATTTACTTATTATACATTGTAGACATATATCCTCACTTTTTACCCCATAATATATACATTATTTTTCAATATATAATTTTAAAACATCAGAATCCAAATATATATCTACACTCCATGTTCATAGTAGCATTATTCACAATAGTCAAGGAATGTAAGCAATATAATTGATCATCAACAGGTGAATGGCTAAAACTATAAATGCATGTATTTGAATATTATTGTTTTAAAATGAAAGAATAATCCTGCCTTTGTGACAACTTTAATGAACCTGGAAGACATTGTACTAAATGAAATAATCTAGACATAAAATAAGAAATGCTACGTAATTCAACTTATAGGAGCCTTCTAAATTACTCTGAACCATAGAAGAAGAGAATGGAATGGAGTTGGCTGGGGAAAAGGGAGTTACTAGTTAAAGGGTATGACAATTCAATTATGCAAGGTGAGTTTGTCCTAGAAATCAAACTGCACAACATAATTAACAATACTATATTATATATTTAGAAAATTGGTATGAAGGTAGATCTCATGTTAAATGTTCTTATAATATAGAATAACAGTCAAAAGAGGCCTCTGCTATGTTGTATATTAATGCTTTATTTTAAAAATAATTTTGTAGTTGTAGATGGGTAGCATGCATTTATTTTATTTGTTGATTTTTGTGCAATGCTAAAGATCAAACCTAGTGGCTCACATGCTAGGTAAGCATTCTGTCACTGAGCTACTACCCCAGCCCACAGTCCTTTAGTTTTTGCTCCATGGAGGTATCATGGTGAAACCAGAGTTTTAAGATGAAATTATATTTTCACTTCTTCTGGCAGATGGGGTCTGTGCAGGCTGCAGGTTTCATCAATTTTCTTCTGGGTTCTTCTCTCACAAACCTGAAGAATAAAATTTACATACAATTATGAAAGGGAAGATTGATCGGTGTGGGATTTGTTTTGGAGGAGACAGAATTCCCATGATGTGGAAGGGGACCTTATACTGTTACAAGGCTGGGACGTTCTGGAAAAATGAGGCAGCATGAATGTCCCTCTCTTCAAACCCTGATTCTTTTGATCAAGTCTGAAATATTTCAGACATTTTAGTTCAGAGTTACAGGCATGAGTTTATAGCCTGGAATAATGGCTTGTCAAGAAAGAGGTCAGTCATCTTATTTCCAGTTCAAACAATGTGTTTGTCTCAAACATTAGGCTCTGCCAGCAGCTATAACTTGCTAATAAGCATTAGTTTATAAAAAGGGGGAACTCATGAAAATAGAAGGAGAACAGTGAATTAGAGGAAAGGAATCAAGGGGGAGGTAGGAAATATGGGATAGAAAACAAGAATGGAATGAGATTGAATAGGAAAATGGAAGGGGACACTTTAAAGGGAGGGGGTGAGTCCTCTCAGAGGGGGAGGGACCTTGTGCCTCTCCTGAACTTCAGTTTTATTAGGGATCTCAGAGAAGTTTCCAGTGAGTCCTGCCCAAGTCCACCTCTTGACGTTTGACTGACAGCAGGATAACATCAGACTTTCAAGTTCCCACTGTCATGACATCTCTAAGTCACCTTGACCTATGCTGTCAGGTTCTAATTTGATTATTTTTTATATTAAAATATTTTTATTAGTGTATTATTGTTATATATGACAGTGAATTTCATTGTGACATATTCATACGTGCATAACATAATTTGCTTCATTTTCATTACCCAGTACTTCATTTTCCCCTTCTTTCCTTCTCCTTCATCTCCTTCATCTCCTCCCTCTACCGATCTTCTACTTATTTTTTTTTAAATTGGTGCATTATAATTATACATAAAACTGTGATTTATTGTGATATATTCAGATATGCACATAGCATAGTCAATCTCATTCCATTGTTGTTTTCTATCCCATATTTCCTACCTCCCCCTTGATTCCTTTCCTCTAATTCACTGTATGCCTATGTTCATGAATTTCTTCTCTTTATAAACTAATGCTGATTAGCAAATTATAGGTGCTCACAGAGCCTAACGTTGGAGACAGACATATTGTTTGAACTGGAAATAAGATGACTGACCTCTTTCTTGACAAGTCATATTTTTTTCAACGTACAAAATCAAAATTTAGACTTCAAAATATCCTTCTATGAAGTAATTTTGCAAATGAACTTAACTCTGAAATATTTTCTAAGTCTAGTTGAATTATTTTTTTCACATGAGCATTTATTAAATCCTCATACCATTAAGCAGCCCCAGTTATTAGCCTCACTTAGAGACCATGAAATAGTTCCACAGAGGATTCATCACTCTCTCAAGCCACACAGACTGTTACCTGTGAGAACTACAGTTGTTCTTAAGCTTGTGATCTGAACCCCCATTCTGAATGTAATATGATTGCTGTCTTCAACATATTTTTAAAATGTATTTATTTATTCTAATTAGTTATACATGACAGCAGAATGCATTTTGATTCATTGTACACAATTACAGCACAAGTTTTCATTTCTGTGGTTGTACATGATGTAGTGTCACACCATATGTCCAGTCATACATGTACCTAGAGTAATGATGTCCATCTCATCTTTCCTGCCCCCATGTCCCTTCCCTTCCCCTCCCTCCCCTTTGCTCAATCACAGGTCCTCCATTTTTTCCCATGCCCTCCTGCCCCCATTATGGATCAGCATACACTTATCAGAGAGACCATTCGGCCTTTGGTTTTGGGGGATTGGCTTACTTTGTTTAGCATAATATTCTCCAACTCCATCCATTTACCTGAAAATGCCATAAATTTTATTTTCTTTTAATGCTGAGTAATATTCCACTGTGTATATATACCACAGTTTCTCTATCATTCATCTACTCTAAAGAACATCTAGTTTGGTTCTACAATTTAGCTATTGTGAATTGAGCTATAAACATTGATGTGGCTGCTTTACACTGCTGATTTTAAGTCCTTGGGTATAGACGGAGGAGTTTTCCAAATTTTCCAAGGAATGTCCACACTGCTTTCCAGAGGAAATGTACCAATTTGAAGTCCCACCATCAATGTACCCTTTCCCCCACATCTTCGCCAACACTTACTATTATTTGTATTCTTAATAGCTGCCATTCTGACTGGCATGTGATAAAATCTTAGAGTAGTTTTGATTTGCATTTCTCTAATTATTAGAGATGTTGAGCATTTTTTCATATATTTGTTGATCGATTGTATATCTTCTTCTGAGAAGTCTCTGTTGAGCTCCTTAGCCCATTTATTGATTGGGTTATTTGTTTTTTTGATGTTAACTTTTGAGTTCTTTATATGTCCTGGAGATTAGTGCTCTATCTGACATGCATGTGGCAAAAATTTGCTCGCAAAATGTAGGCTCTCTCTTCACTTCATTGTTTCTTTTGCTGAGAAGAAGCTTTTTAGTTTGAATCCATGCTATTTATTGATTCTTGATTTTATTTCTTATGCTTTAGGAGTCTTGTCAAGGAAGTCAGAGCCTAATCTGACATGATGAAGATTTGGGCCTAGTTTTTCTTCTACTAGGCTCAGGGTCTCTGGTATAATTCCTAGGTGCTTTATCCACTTTGAGTTGAGTTTTGTGCATAGTGAGAGACAGGGGTTTAGTTTCATTTTGGTGCATATGGCTTTTCAGTTCTCCCAGCACCATTTGTTGAAGAGACTGTCTTTTTTCCAATGTATATTTTTGAAGCCTTTGTGTAGTATGAGATAATGGTATTTCTAATTGGATTCTTAACGATACTTTCTTATAGAAGTTATGATAAGGTGGGATTTTTCTTATCTCCCTGATTTCTGGGATCTTGTTTATGAAAAGGGTCACAAATGTCCACCCTTTCAGAATAACACTCCTTTTATTGGCATTATTTTGGGCCTGCATTTCTCTTGCAGATAACAGGTAATTTTCTGAAGAATATGACATATCTTGTTCCCTTAAGCCAGGCAGGTCTATGGGTAAATTGCCTCTTGTTAAAGAAAGCAGTTGGGGATCAGCACAGTGGTCACGTTTTATAGAATTCTTCCTTTAACTTCATATTCCCACCACTTGCCCCCTATCAATAGGAGGAGTGACAATTCCTGGGTAAGGTTTGACTAGGGTGGTGATAGAGGGAAGTAGATTCTCAGAAGGATGAAGATATCAACTACTTATAAGCTGATGTAGAAGCATTTCAATGTTTTAATCACTGGGATACCTGTACTGGGAGTACCAGCTAAAATGTCAGCCTTAGTGTGTGATAAAAATATCTGCTCTTTTCTCCTCTTTTCTAGAAAAACCTAAGATTTATGAGAAGGATACAGACTTGAAGACTAATAATGCAGTATTCCTGGGAAGTGAGAACACCCTTCGCTGTACTGCAAGTGGCCTGCCTTCACCCTCCTTCATGTGGGCCTGGGAGCCCTGTAGCCAGACAGATGAATTGTAAGTGACTTTCATGCCCAAGGACCTGGCACAATTTTAGATCTTCTGGATTTACTGAGCTACATATGGATCTGGCAGACTCAAGATCTTAGCAGAACATTTTTTTCCCTTTAATCTGATATGAGAGCTCCTGGGATCAGGGATATTGGATGGGGCCAAGGAAACTAAAGGAGGAAGTACTCCAACAATGCCCAAGCTCCAGGGTTTGGACGATTCTCTCCTTCCAAAGTCACAGCTTAAAATAACCAGTGGCATTTAGGTGTAATTTGTGAACTGATACTTTAGTAGGAATGGTACAAAACAGGGAAGATTTCTAAACATCTGTCATTGCACAGAAAAATTCAGTAATGAGCTAGGGAAGTGGACATGTCTTATCTGTTTCAGAACCACTCCTATGATAAGTCTTATTGGGATAGTAATCATGGCTCAAAAATTTGTCAGCATCTTTATATTCAAATACAGTCATTTTATTTTACTATGATCCTTGTGTAGGATGGAAGAAAGGGATTCCTCTTTCTCAGTAAACAGTGAAGACAGAGAAGCAAAATGGGGATAAATGACTCATTTTTTTTAATTTTTAAATTTTTTTATTTATATATGACAGCAGAATGCATTACACTTCTTATTGCACATATAGAGCCCAATTTTTCATATCTCTGGTTGTATACAAAGTATATTTACTCCAATTTGTGTCTTCATACATGTACTTTGGATAATAATGATCATCACATTCCACCATCATTTCTAACCCCATGCCCCCTGCCTTCACCTCCAACCCCTATGCCCTAATTAGAGTTCCTCTATTCTTCTCATGCTCCCTCTCCCTATCCAACTATGAATCAGCCTCCCTGCATCAAAGAAAATATTCAGCATTTGTTTTTTTGGGATTGGCTAACATCAATTAGCATTATCTTCTTTAACTCCATCTATTTACCTGCAAATGCCATGACTTTATTCTCTTTTATTGCTGAGTAATATTCCATTATGTATATATGCCACTTTTTTAATCCATTCATCTATTGAAGGGCATCTAGGTTGGTTCCACAGTTTAGCTATTGTGAATTGTGCTGCTATAAACATTGATGTAGCTGTGTCCCTGTAGTATGCTGTTTTTAAGTCCTTTGGGTATAGACCAAGGAGAGGGACAGCTCGGTCAAATAGTGATTCCATTCCCAATTTTCCAAGAAATGACTCATTTATCACAACACAGTAAAAAGCAGAAATAACAATGAGAGTAAGTTACCCTGACTATTAGCCCTTTGAACTTCTATTTATCAGAACCCCACTCTATTCCTAGTACATATTAAATACTTTGTTTTCTGGTTTCATCCAATAAGCTCCATTTCAGAGTAGCTTCTTCAACAAGGAGTTGAAAGTGCCTACTATAAAAATCAGAGAAAGGAAATGGAAAATTCAGGGAGACCAAATGAATTGCCTCAAATTCCAGAATAATTAGCATTTAAGAATACTTGGTTTAAAAAGAACAGATAAAAAAATTAAAAAAGAATACATGGTCAATACTAAACTATCTTATATCATAAAATTTCTCTACAGGCCTGCTATAGTCCAGAAATTCTATGCCTTGGAATAAATCTGAAGTTCTATAAACAGTTTATCTGAGTTCTAGGTAATGTCTAAAGGATGACATATTTTCTGATCAGGAAAGTTAATCTGATTAAGTCATTGCTGCACTGTGCTGAATTCAAGTGAAGTTCTGAGCACATAGTCATGAGTGGGCAATAACTAGGAGCTAGCTTAGCTTTGGGTAGAGAGGCCTTGACTCAGAGGGAATGTAGGGAATATGGCTCTCAGACCAAGATCTAGATCTTCAGGTAGGAGGGGCTTTTGGTCTCTCTTACAAGTACTGTCCAACAAACTTCCATAAGAGAACTACATTTAGTTGCTCCCTGCCTACAACTCTTTTGGAAGCATCCTTATTTCTTCACAGTAGGCATTCTTGAGGATGGTAACAGTAGTGCTGCCTACTTGCTCACTTTTGGTTTTGTTTAGTGCCCTTGCTCATTCTGACATTCTATAATCCCTAATTCACACCTGTTGCTCTCACTTGATTGAAATGCAGTGAAACTAGTTGCATTATTTTTGTACCTTTTTAACGAGCTTGTTTGGAGGGCAGTGCAGCTACTCATATATCCTTGACTGAAGAATGTTCCTCCTCTATCAGGGACGGTCATTCTCTTTGACCAAGGACTCAACTTTGGTAAGGAGAAACAAGAAGCAGTGAGGGAGGAAGGGGATACCTGCCTATCCAGTCAGATCAGCTGAATCAACCCTGGAAACCAATAGGGTGATGGATGTTGCAGCCAGATTGCCCTCACACTCTGTTGCTTTTAAAAAATGGGTTCTTTTTAGTTATTCATGAGAGTAGAATCCATTTTGACACAATTATAAAATCATGGAATATATCTTGTTCTAATTAAGTTTTCAGTACTTCTCTTTACTCTTCTCTCACTCCCTGTTCCCTTCCCTTTGGTGATCTTTCTGCCATTTACCCATAGGTATTTTTTAAATTGATTTCTTTTGATGTACACAATGATGAGATTCGCTGTGTTATATTCATGTATGTACATAGGAAAGTGTCCTTCCTTTACCCATCCCCCTCCCTTCACTTCATTCTTCTTTGTCTACTACACTGAACTTCTTGCACCTTTCTATCTGAAGGAAAAGAGAAGGACTGAGTAAATATTTTTTCTGACATAAGTGCCTTTTTGAAGTGCCTTTCCAAACAAAATTTTCATTAAGTTAACAATTACTGAACACTTACTATATTCTAGGAGAAATTCTAGTTCCTGTCAGACACATTCATTTGAAACTCAATCCTCACTGAATTCTTTAAACAAGCCCATAGGGTAGCGAATATTAGTTCCACTTCCACAGTTGAAGAAACAGCTCAGAAGGGCAAGTAAGTTGTCAGAACAAAGACCTAACAGTGCCTGGATATGAATTCCATATCTGCTGAGTACAAGTTCAGTACTCCAGTAATGTACCTTCCTGTGGATCTTAATTGAACAACAAATGCCTAGAACTCTGCTCCTTTGACACTTTCTTCTTTGCATAAGTTTCAGATCAGGCAAGTTCATTTGGAAGGAGGTAAAAGTAAAGGAGAATCTCAAATGGCTTCAAATTCTACAATAGTCTAGAAACAAGAAAGTAGAAAAATACTCAAATTTTGAGCTCAGCTAAACTTCAGCTAAATGGACCTTTTTTATTCTTTTTTTGACATTATGAATTTTTAATCCAAGCCACCAGATACACAAAGATTTTTGTTGAAATTGGATTCACAAATTCCTATTTTCTCTAATGTTCTCAGAAGGTAACTGAGCTAACTGAAATTTATTTTTATTGGTATATTATGATTATACATAATAGTCAGATTCATTGTGACATATACATATACGTAATTCAGTTTCATTCTCCAGTAGCTCATGTTTCCCTCCCCTCTTCCCTCCACCTTTTCTTCTTCCTCAACTCTACTAGTCTCCCTTCTATTTTCATGAGTTCTCTTTTCTCTGTAGCTTCCACTCATGAGAGAGAATTAATGGTCTTTGACTTTGTGACTCTGGCTTATCTAGCTCCATTATTCTCATGAGATCCATCCATTTTTCTTCAAATTACATATATGGACCTTTTGTTTTTTCAACACTTAAGGTATGCTTCTGGATCAGTACACTTGAAATAGCTATTTACTCCACTTAAAATTGTTTTCCCTGAGAAATCTTCATGGTTTATGTTTCTTTCAGGACTCTATTCAAAAGTCACTTCCTCAGAAAGGTCTTTCATGAACATACTATCTTCTATTATCTTCTAATTTCGAACTATCTAGAACTATCTCTCTGTCTCTCCATCTCTCTGTCTCTGTCTTTCTGTGTGTGTCTATAAAAGAATATTAGAGACTAAGTAATTTATAAGCAGTAGAATTTCATTCAACTCATGAATATACAAGTTAGAACTTTCAGAAGTATGGCTCTGGAACTTGGTGAGGGCCTTAGTGCAGCACTGAATTGTAGCAGAAGGGGGAAGGGAGAAAGAATGAAAGAGCAAGTTATAGCAGACTTTATCTTTATCATAATACTGCTACCATGGTAATAATTTCAATCCATTCATGAGAGCATCACTTAATAATTTCCTATTAAAGGTCCCACCACTTAGCACTGTTGCATTGGATATTTAGTTTACAACATATAAATCTTAAACAATATATTAAAAAATAGCACCAAATCATTGATTTATTTGCATTTAACCTAGATGAGATTCAAATTATTTTATTCAATAATAAAGGAGACTTGTGAGGATTCTCTGGTAAAAGTCCTTCCCTGATTAATAGAATATACTCTCTGAATTGCTTGTAACCTTTGAGGTGAAAAGACTGAAAATGCCATCTCTTTCTTTACCAGTTGTACGGAACGGGGCAAACGTATATATCTTTCCAAAGAGACTTTGAAAAGTGACCTCCCTTTGAGCAACAGGATCCTTTCCATTGAGGAAATAGTATTGACACATGGAGAAAAGACCAAGGTAGGTAGATGATTGAAAGTTACTGTGGTAGAAGTGATTTTAAAACCTCAATAAAGTAAGTCTATTCTTCAGGCACTGATATTAATTTCCAGAAATGCCTAGGGGCTAGGGTATGGTTGACAATTTTACTGATTATAAAAAAGCTTAGAGCTTATAAAAAATAAATATTGTTATTATAATTAGGATGTAGCTTTCTTTCTTATAAAGCTTCTCTTTAATCAGCTCCTTCTATGTCCCAAGGTCATGAAAGTAGTAAAAATGTGCTTGAAATAAAGATTTTTCTGATAGCCCTTGCTCATCTTGGTTTCTGGAGTCTCAGGTTGAATTGTGTTAAGGGGACCTTGGAAGGGTTTTAATGGTCCTAAGGATCAAATATATAACAGCACTCACAGCCAGTTAACCTTGGTGCTGTGAGATCTTTGTTTAATCCAATGAGAGAGGTGAAAGATAAAGCATGATGGAAGATGGGAAAAAAACCCATAAATTGCAATATTGATGAATCTGCCAAGGATGGCAATGCTGTATGATGGAAAATTCATCAGAGTGGGACCCAGAAGATTTGTGTTGGAATCTTGGTTCCATCAGTTACTCATTAACTGTGTAAATTTAAGCAATTCACTTACCTCTCTGGATCTTAGTTTCAAAATCAGTAAAATGTATGTATGTATTCATTCATTCATTCATCAAACAGTTACTATACCTGGGATGGTGATAAATATAAAGCAGACATCTCTTCCATTTTCATGGAGCTTATTGTGATTATGGGATGTGGATAAAAACGGTGGGTCAATATTTTAAAATTACAAGTTATTAAAAATTTTATGAAGAAAAATCGAGCATAATAGAGAGTAGAACCTACTTTGGATAAAAATAGCTATTTTGACAAAGAAAGACTTTATGAAGAAGAAACATTTAATTTCATACTTAAAAGTTAAGGAGACATTCATGTAACAAAGTATGCTCTGGGCGAGGCTAGTTCTGTTCAATAGAAATATAATGTGGGCTACAAATAAATTCTGAATTTTCTGGTAGCTACATTATGCAAAGTAATAATAAACAGATAAAATTAATTTTGATGATATATTTACCCAGCATATCTAAAATATTATTTCAATTAAAAACAGCATAAAATATTCATGAGATATTTTTCAATATTTTTCCATACTAAGTCTTTGAAATCCTTGTGTATATTCTATACTTAAAGAACATATCAATTTGGAGTAGCAACATTTTAAGTACTCAGCACTTGTGACTTTTCACCACCATATTGTACAGTTTATGTCTAGCCATTTTTTTAAGGCCTTGAGGCCATAAAGACTTTTGTACATTTGAGTAACATTTTAAAAAATCCAGTGTGGCTAAAACATGAAAAGTAAAGGAGACAGTAAAAATAATTGAAGTCTGAGAACAGACATGGACTTGATAATATAAGGCCTTGAAGGAATAGTAATTATTTTATATTTCATCCTTAGCACATAGGGAAACTGTCTAGTGATTTTGAGAAACATGGCTCGATAAATTTTTAATGAGCTTACTCTGATGTGTTATTTGCTTGGAAGCTCTATTTTCTTTGAAGGAGGCAAGAAAGGATGCAGAAATCAGAAGTCTTTTTTATGGTCTTGGTAAGAGTGACAACTGTTGATACTAGGATTGTTGTAGCATAGACAGAAATAAGATTTTTGATGTTTTGAAGTTTTTTGTTGATTGGTGAGCTGTGAAGATAGGGGAGGGAAATAAAAAAAAATATCAAGTATTCCTATATTTTTGTCATGCCAATTGGTTGCTTCCAGTGACTGATATGGGAAAGAGTAAGGGAACAGCATATTTTCATTAATGGGAGGTTGAATCAAGGGCTCGGTTTTAGATGTGTTGGTCTTATCTAAGAAATTATGTCAAGAAGGAAATTGTAAATATCAGGAGCTCTGATAATAGTAAGACTGGATATATGAAATGTGAAGTCTTGTTTTATTGAAGATTTTAATGGTGAGCTAAGGAAAGCCTATGGAAGCCAGGTCTGAGTTCTGGGTCCTTCATCATGTATAAGTCAAACTAAGAGGGAGGATCCATGAAAGCAGAAAGAAGAATGGTCAGTGATGCAGCAAGTAAATTAGGGAAATGGTTTCCTGGAACCAAAGAGAGAGAATTGTGTCATGGAGGGAATGACTGATTCTATTAAATGCAATTAAGTGCTCAAGTAAGATGAAGACAGACAAATGTCCACTGGCTTCACAAAGTTATATCAATATTTTAATCTCTTTTGATACGGCTTCTTTCTAGACATTTCTTTAATCCTTTGGAGATCATGTTACCTTACTTTTACATGCTTCATGTGTCCCTAAATTAATATTTGTTCAT